TATACATTTTTTTTTAAGAAATTGCTAAACATTTTCGTCTAGTACTGTACAGTTCTAGCCGATCTCCTAAGACCGCCCATCGAGAGCTCTGCTCGTTCAAGCTTGTTCCAACTATTTCTGTCTTGCTCACGTCTAGTATGTATTCTTTCTATCTTCGCGCAGATTTCTTCAAGGTCACAATTCTAACAAATTGAAATGGATTGTAGACATGATTAACTTGTGTAGTTATTGCGTTATTCTTATGAAAAGGTCAATCCCTTTCAACATTTCAAGTTAGATTACTAACCGTATGAGGTCTGTACTTGTACCTTTGATGGTCTTTTTGGTTGATTTGGAACCAATTTCCAATTCCACCTCCACTCTTTCCTATCCTGAGCTAATCTTCGCATTTCCCTAAAGCTAAAACATCCCACATTCTTGACTATTTGGGAACAGTAATGTAATCTGGACTTACTCCTCTTAACTTCTTCTGCTTCTATATGTCCTTAACTAGTCCTTCATACCTAAGAATGTGTCCTACCTACCTATTTTGCTTATTTCTTATTGACGTCCATAGGGTCCTCTGTTCTCTTATTCTTTCTAATAATTCTTCATTTCGAACGCTCCCTAACCTTTTGTTTTCCGCCGCATCCACTGTCCATGTTTCGCAGGCACAGCGCCGCGCTCCAGACATCCACCTTTAACAATCTTTTTCGAATTTATAAATTAACCGTTAGCGAGTACAGAGCTACTTCTTTTTGTTGAAGTGTGTCACTGCTACCTATTAATCTATACATCGAAAACATGATCAATAAAAGCAGGGCAACTGTATGGATATACAGGGGCAAAAGATTAGTATGCTTGGATTACAGATGATATAGCAGCATTAGCATCTAGCAAGGAGGAGGTAGAGATAGCCTTTAATAGAATGCAAGCGGTATTGTATGCAAGGGAAGAAAAAGTAGGAAAAGAGCGAATATAAATTAAATGAGACGAAAAATTAGAAGAAATGGTCGAACTTTGATATATAGGAAGTCATATATTTAATATAAAAACCGGTATTAAATATGTAAAATTGTAATGCAGGGGCGATTCATAAATTATGTACCTGACGCAAAATCCATCTGGTTGTCATGTTTACGTAGGAAGTGGAAGGCGGTTAATGCATGCGTTACTTGAATATTTGAAAATTAAATAATTGTTGGAATTCGAAAAATCATTTCCTTCATTGAGACCTAAAAAAATATTTGTAATACACGTGTTACTAACGGTGGAGTGAGGGGTCAGGAAACGCTGTACGGTCTCGTTACGTGGAAGGGGGACAAACATTGATAATTACGTAATTTATGGATAGTTCCAAAAACCTAAGTAAGTTGTTACCTACGAGTGAGTGATCAATACAGGTACAGTTGGTAGAAAAGAGGGAGGGGGTGACACAAAGTGAAGTGCCCTATATTTAAGAAAAGAATAAATCTGACACTGTTTTTAATCTTACTCTACTAGCTCTTATTGTTTTACTAATTATATTCTAATTAACTGTACAAGAATGAAGGCCATTAGGAGGCGTTTTAGGTATTTTGCGCGAATAAACATTATACATAATTCTGTAAGCTATTTCTTTTAACAGCTAAAAAATTACTGCTTGTTACGAAATTATTACTTACGAAACTTCTTGTTTAATCACTTGCGGCTGTTTTCTATAAATAATTTTATTTCATTATTATTTGTACATTCATTTATTTTGGTGAAAAAATCTTTGTAATTTTTAGTAGAAGCCAGATTGATATTATTTATTACCATTGTTGTTTTAGTGTCCGACAGTAGATGGATTTCTATCCACTTTCACATTTCATTTAAAGTCAATTAATATTGAAGTGTAATTTTTTTAGTATCAATGTTGATACTTCACTGAAAATAACTCACATAATCGATAGGATATGTTCTAGGCAGTAGAATTCAATAAAAAGTTTTATTAGTTGCTAATACTACAAGGAAGTAGGTAATATCTCATAAACTGTGCAAACAATGGAATCGCAACTTACTTTATTTACGATATTTTGAAAAAATTCGAACTAAATTTTATTGATGTTTAATTTTCTTTCGGATATAGTTTATAATAAAAAATGCTCAAATCAACAGCCGTTTTATTGATTTGCTATACTGGTCCTAAAAAGTTTTTATTTTATATTCACTATATTCTTTAGTATTTGTACTTAAACAAACGTCCCACGAAATGTAGCATTCTACAGATGGCGTTTATTACACTGTTTACATATAATAATATTGATATATTTTATTGGGCGTGCTGTTGAATGTAATTTTTTATATTTATATATTTTTTATGTGTATCATTTAATTTTTTTTTGAGGTGTTTATATATATAAAGAATGTTACATTTTTTAATGGTAGCGGTTGAGGAAGCCTGTTTTGCAGATACTTTAGTAATTTCTGTTTTAATGTTTTTTTATGAAAGTAATTTGACATTATAAAACTGTATGTAAAAAAAAAACAAGATACTTGAATGAGTGCAGTTTCGCTGTGCCCGTTCTAAACTGATCTTTTTAGGGCCGCCCACGTTTTTTTGAATAAACATCGTGATATCTTGTCAAGTTCATTAAAAGAACTGTCTGTCAGTGCTGGACGATTTAAATCGTCTTTTTTACTGTCCTCCCTTCGAGCAACATACTCACAAAAACGTGTTGCAGGTTTCGATTTTTGATTTAACTATTCAGGTTTAATTTCCTGTTTCTTGTTTTTGAAAATTCTTGTCAATTTTTTAAAAAATATGACATGGCAAAGGCTAATTCGTATCTTTTCAAATAAATAGAATTGAATAAATGCAATTTAAAGCGTTTGAAGGGTGTTACGCTTGTACAAAAGATTTTTAATATTTGATTAGTTTAGGAAAGTTTTTCTAGAAGCAGGAAATATTAATTCAGATAGACGTGGTTGAAAAACATATATGTACGTATATTCTAGATATTCACCAATTTGAGCATTTTCGCTTGTCTGACATAATAAATAAATATATGCTGACAAAGAAATATAGTGTAATTTCTATGTTCGACGAATTTTTTGCCTTACCTGTATAGCAATTCAGGGCACATAAAGTTGCAAAAGAAGCCGACATTTTCGGGAAGATCAAAGGAGTGATACAATAATTTTTTTGTCATGTTAGCGGGGAAAGCTCGTTTTGCGTGCTATGAATTAGGGAAGAAATGGCCTTTTTTCAGCCGTGTTTTAGTCGGGAGGCAATGAAATTAGTCTTTTGAGCGCATGCGCTGAAGTTTATGGGCATGCGCAGAAATCAGTTGTTCAAAGACAATGTCTAACCTCTAAATCATTTACTCTTATTTCGCCAACTATCAATTTAATAACGAGCTTTCCGCACAAACATGACAAAAAGTAGTATACGTACCTCGGGAAGAAACAGGGTTATCTCAGACTGCATGTTTGCCATTCACATGCAGTCTGAAAAAACCCTGTTTCTTCCCTCGGTACGTAATGTACTATTTTCTTCTGCCACCGGATGGCTCGGCATTGAAGGTAGTTTGAAATAAAGATGTAAATATCTAGAAATAACGTACCACATTATGTGTGCTATATAAGTCTATACTTACTTACTTTGTTTGTTGAAATTTGTTTAGGAGAAGTAATGTTATAAAAATAAAATGTGTATCATGATTCAGTAAAACGGGCAAATTTAGAATTTCTTGTAAAAGATTGTAGATAACGACTAATTTATAAATAAAAATGTAATGTTCAATACTTATTTTTATTTTTCGAGTTTAGAGATAATTTGATATAAATAATTTTAATACATAAATCTGGTATTTGTTGCCGTGCGTTTATTTATTTATAATCTCAGTTACTTACAGGCAAAACAAACCCATAAGCAAAACAACGAAATTAATGGAATTCTATCGAGTTAATATGGTCTTTTTCAAAGTACTCATTTACAAAAATTTATACAAATTTATGTTTTTTTTAACTGTAATTAAAAGTAATTTTGAGATAGGTACCTACCTAGTATTGATTACTTTAAAGGATGAAAGAAATNTTCTCGTATGTGTATATATATATATATATATATATATATATATATATATATATATATAAAGTATTATCTAACTAGTCACCCAAGGAAAAAATTAAAACAATTTTTTTGATTGTAATTGGTGTTAGGATTAGGTTTGCCTGGATGCATGAACCATAGCAGAACAGCGTGGAAATTATAGTCTTACTTTTGGTTAATTGTCAGGCATTAGAAGCATAGAAAATATATTGTTACTTCAAAATAATGCATACAACGAATCACAGCTAAGTTGTTTCTGTAAAATTTCAATATTGCTATGTATATTTCTGTTATTCTATAATACCTATATTACGTTAAGTTACGTTATAGTGCTTTACCCTCAAACTAACTGCAACCTAAACAAAAAAAAAATCCATAGATTGCAAAAAAGATTGAGAAATGTTACAAAAATCAGTTTTGAAAAAAAATTGAACTCATTTAAAAATAGGTTTAAAAGCCGAACAAAATAAGCTCCACTTGAACTCAATTGGTCCAGTGGTTCTATCACAAATAGCAAAAACCTGTGAAGTTGCACGTTTCCTTGATAAGGCTGAAATTTGCACACATTACGGTATAAGTAACCCTCAACATATCCTCCATATTTAAATTGCAAACACCGTGAGAGGTGCTAAAGCCTTGTAACGTGATGTTCAATAAATTATTTTCATTAAAATGTCAGCCAGTGAATTAATAATCTTTACTTATTTTATTTTTTCAAATTTGCCCACTTCGTCTTTTTCAACAAATCCCGATTTTTATTAGATAACGATAAAAAAATGAATGCCGTTCATTAAAACATTTTCCAATGTAATCATTGTCATTATGTTCGCTGCCTAGCATTAATGTCGAGAACTGATTGTATAGTCCGATTGTTTGATAATTCGATTCCACCTTTATATAAATTAAATAAAGTAAGAGAAATAATGTATTTTTTTTGTATATTTAGGGCACAACATTACCGTTACCGCACACCTATACCCACCCATACCATCAGTCGCATGAGTCAACAAATAAAGGTGATCGAAGGGGTGGCGCCTACAAAAATGTTACTCCCTATGATACAGGAGTAAGCGAAGAAAGTTTCACCGACTCGAATACGTATTACAACTGTAATCAAGAATATTCTCATTGTCGAAATAAATCTCAGAATAATGAATGTGTGTATTCGGACGACAGCGGTTCTACCAGATTGCCCTATTATGAAGAAATATCGCCAAAAAGGCACTCAAGAAACTACTCTTCCGATCGTAATCCTAAAGGTGCGAAACCGTTGTACAAAGAAAATAGAATCACATCATCTATTAGAAAGGACGTGAGAAAGGTGTACCCCAACCAAAGCAGTCCATGTGAAGCCTATTTTCATGATGGATCTCAAAGGTATGCGACTGTTTCCCGTTCCTTTCATTTCGGCATAGATAGATCTCCAAAGGTGCCTATTCAGCTTATGCAATTTTTGTTTATTTTTTTCATCAACCGTTTTTTGTAAATTAATATTTTTGTTTGTATTTCAGACATAGTGATAGTACAGGTGCCCCTACAATACCAACAGTTCGAGGGGGTGGTTTGTCGCGTTTATCTGATAGACCTCAAAGTTCTTTAAGTTCTTCAGGAATAGGTAGTGCTGTCGTCGATGGTTGTGGTGGTCGATGCCAAACATTTGAAAATGTTTGCTACTATTTTCTTCAGGTAAATACGTATTGTACTTATCTACTTCCTATATGCTAAGAGCAAAGGCTTTCACGGCCGGAATCAATGGTAGAATGATGATTCGGACTATAGGGCCGTGGTATAAGTGAACTATTCTGTCCAGCAGTAGCAGTAGCTGACGAAACGTCTGGACAGAATAGTTCACTTAGACAACGGCCCTATAGCCCGAATCTTCATTCTACTATTACTATATTTTACATATTTTAATGTTAAGTGTATAAAGTTGGCAGGATAACTAGAATCGAAAAATCGCCCAGATAGTAATTTGCTGTTATTTAATCACTAATTAGTCGTTTAGACAAAAATAGCTTATACAAAATTTGTAAATCGTAAAATTTTCTACAAAAATATCTATACTTTTTTCATAGGAGTAACCATTTTTGTGATATCGCGAGTTCAAATATCAGACATACTGATATGTACCCATATTCCATTGTATACGTCATCAAACGCTCAGTACAAGAAGTAAAAGTGCGACAGTACTGGTTTGTGTGAGTCATGTATATACATATATTTGAATGTACTCGAGTACAAACAAAAATATATTTTTCTCAGTTTAAGTTTTTGAAATGTGGTGTTACAGGCGAATGATGAGGATAACGTGGGTAGAAAAGGTTAGAAATGAAGAGGTATTAGAAACAATAGGAGAAGAGAGGGCTCTATGGAAATCAATAAAAAATAGGCGAGATAGGTTGGTAGGACACCTTCTCAGATATGAAGATCTAATCAGAGACATATTAGAGGCAGAAACAGGAGTTAGGTTAGGTTAGGTTAGATTACTGTTTGCAAATAGTTAAGGATATGGGTTACTCTAGTTTTAGGGAAATGCGAAAATTAGCTCAGGATAGGAAAGTGTGGGGTACTTGTCCAACCAGTCTTAGGACTGACAATCTTATGATGGTGATGAGTTTAACTGCAGCCCAAAGCATATCCAAAATGCCAAGTTCATATTTTATTTTTACATGCAATAACTTCGATACTACCTTCGTTCACTTTTTAAAAGGGGTAAAACTACAGTATTTAAATTATTTGAAAAATCATTTAATTGATAGATTAAGTTTTGTAAAAAATACACGAAAAATAAAAGAATACTGCTACCTTGTCTTCCTCCAACATCTGCTGCTGCTGCTTTTCAACACTTATTTCGTGTATACGATCAAGTACAATTATGGGTCAGTAATGAATCAGACGTAAAAGACTGGGGTTGGAAGTTTGCAGATATAGTTTTGCATCCCGTTATTGGCACGTGCCTCAGAAAAACTTTTTGATACAATTTTTTGCAATTGCAACACAGCAAATTAATTACGATTGGCAGCTGATCGTAGAAAAATTCACCTTCAGTAGGTCGGAATCAGCTGCTTTTTGGGGGTGATGTTATTGTTTATGTTTGGTATTAAGTTACGGATCAGCCGAAGAAAATGCACTCGCGTTAAGGTCCATTGGATGACTGAAACATGTTAGAAAAACTATGTACCTATCACAATCGAAAATCCCATGATCGTAAACTGAAGTGGACCTAATGTAGCCGATGACGTCGAGTATTATGTTTTTTTACACAGAAAAGAAATTTTAACAACTACGGAATAGTTAGAAGCTGTGCACAAACAACCCTCACCACCCAGCGTCAGTTGGTGGTGAGTTACATTCCAATGCCTATCGTATAATTCGGAATATTCCCGGTATCTTGGCCAAAATTCGCAGCAACTGGGTACGTCGCTATCAGTGTTGCATTAAAACGAATGGCAGACAATTTCAACACTTTATAAAAGGTACGCTCTTCTTTTTCACTTTTACCTTTTTTTTACAAGGTGGAAGTGCATTCGGCTTCTTCCCGGTAGGTACTTGTTACATCCCCCCAAGATCAGCTGAGCAATATTAGTCGCCTACATCCAGGCCCGTAATGAAACAAATTGTACGTTCAAATTTACAAAGACAATTTGCGAGCTCAATTGTCACTGGATTGAAAAATTGTATAACATTTTTTGTTGTATTTTGTGCCAGGAAGCCATGTTTTTTTTTATTATTATAAATGGGAGACCCTGTATGTATATGTATAAAAATGTGTGCATTTAAGTATGATACGACTTTTAAATCGTTTTTAATTCGCGATATCTCAAGGATGATTACTCATACGAAAAAAGTAGATATCTTTGTAAAAAATTTTATGATTTACGAATTTTGTACAAGTTATTTTTATAATAAAAATAACCGTTTAGGAGTAAAATGCGAAAAACCGATTTTTGTGACCTTTGACCTTGAATATAATATTTTGGGCATGGAGGATCAATGGAGACTTGATATTTTATTTATAATGATATTTTGAATACCTATATAAACTTTCAGCTCTATGCGAATTTTTGCAAACCATGAATCTATTTTGACCGGACTGTAAGGGTTTAGACAACAACAGCAACTCTGCTTTCTTGGTTATTAAGCTACATTCCAAAAAGCCGAATTTTACAAATTAGTTCTTGGTAGAAAGGAGATAAATTTTTAGTATCTTCATTACTTTGCCTATTTTTCTATTACTTTGTTTTTTATTATTTATTGAAAATATGTTGTTCAGGTAGCGTTTACGATGGGAATACTAATAGGAACATCATTATGTATAGCTGGAGCAGTTCTTCGAAAATCCACTGCGAGAAATTTGCAAGTTCTCGTTTATATAGGGGCCCTTTTATCACTAGTAAGTGCTCTTTTATTGGGCATACAATGCAACGCGCGTAATAATGCTCGCAAACGTAAAAAAGCACTTCGTAACGCCAAAAGACAGCCAATTCCCCTCGATAATCTGCAAACAAGGATCATCCCTCATCAACAACAACCATTAATGGTGGTTGAACATGCGAAAAGGTAAATATTCTTCTATAATTTGTAGTTAGGTTGATTGTTTATTAAATTTGTACTTGTAAAGAGCGAATGCAAATAATGTAGATAAAAACCTTTTAGCACAGATGTTTATCGTGTTCTTGATGTTACTTTTAGGCAATGGCTCTAGAAAAACGAAAATGCTTTTTTATAAGTATTTCTTTTGACATAAACCACGTTTTTCTCGATTGTATAAAAGGTTTAAAATGGCGAGTTAAAAACATGTCATCCTTGTAATGTGTGAAATATCCGGAGAGCATAATATAAGTAAAATTAATAGTTTGAACAATACCAATTTCACTCTCATATCGTTGGATTTCTCGTGTTTGCAATCCATATGTTCAATTAAATTAACAATTAATAAGTGTATAACTAAAATTAGTGGCGAAGATGACATGTGCCACGAACTTACCAGACGTGGATCGCAATTTCGAACTTATTGTTAGTTCTCATTAGTAAGCTGTAGGTAGTTTCGACCAATTACCGATTAAACTGAAGTTGCTCCTTATAAAAGTATGTTTTGGACAGTATATCACCATCTACTGATATTGTTTCAAATGTTTGACAAGGGCATTACAAAAGTAGACAGTAAATATCAGTAGATGTTGATATACTCCCCATAATCCGATATTAGATCCTGCTTTTTGTTTTGTTTACAAACTAATATTTTAAAAACATGGTATACATTGTTCAATACTTTTGCTACAAAAAATACATTAAACAGTTTTTGCATTTAATTAACAAAATATGGGTAAAATGCATATTGATTGCTGTTATTATTCAAAATGTTACCTGCATTAAATTGGAATTCTGATAGCGCATTTGCCTATTCCTATTTTTTTTTTATTTCAGAGTACAATCAAATGTTGTTCTGCAAGATGTGCCTCAAAGATCTGCGGTTGTTGAACAGCAAGGAATACCTTGGTGGAGAAGAAAAGATATTAAATAGTCGAAAATTTGTATATATCTATGTTAAAACAAAACTAGCCTTAAAGATTGTAATTATTAACGCAACGAGTTATTTTTCTTTTTATAATTTTGACATGCAAAGACTGATTTCATCGAATGAATTGCATGCTATTTTTTCTACCTCAAGAATAATTATGACGTTTTAAGCACTATGTCTAGTCTAACAATAAATATGTAACAAAGTAAGTGAACTTGTATGTATGTAACAAATTATGTAAATTTGTACATTAAAATTATTCTTGCAAATGAACTAACATGTATTAATTATTTCTAAGTCTGTATTAACTTTTAGTAAACGTCTACACCAAAAAAAAAAAGAAAAATCATATATAAAATGGTTGATCAGCCTATAATTCTTATGCAAACATTTCTAAGCGATTAAAAGAAATTCAACAGAACATTTGCATTTTTGCATTTGAGTATGTAGGTACGCATTCTAGTTCTAAGTTCTCCATGAAGGTAGTAATAGTTGTGTATAAAACTTATGCTCTGTAGGTGCACTTTCAAGTTCTTGAAGAGGTTCAGGTAAGAACTTTTAGTATTTTGAGCAGCATCCTCGTTGGAAAGACCATGATTAGAGACACAGTGATGAATGTTGCTTCATAATGGAAACCATCGGTTTAAAAGTTTCCAGCAAAGTTGCTTTACACCCTTTATCGTAGCAGATACATTGGAGAATAACTATTAATAATACTATACTCTCCATACATCTTAAATTAAGGATTGGAATTAAATGCGCTTGAAAATGGACTAAAATTGCCTTAAAAAGAAATGAATAAACATTAAAAAGGGATTACAAAATGTACCTAAATGTATAAACATGCCACTTTTGAAATATAAAATTACATTTAAAAACCAAATTGCACTGTGAGAAAGCAACCTACCGTCCACTTTAAATTTGAAAACGTATGATGTGGTTTGTGTTAAATCGCGTAGCAGTATTTATGACTGATTCTGTAACGCTGAGGCAAATACAATACGCCAATAGTTAAAGCCTTGCATGTGGAGCAGTAGGTCCCGTGTTTGAATCCTAGAGTTGGCTGAATATTTACACCAAAATATTCGAAGCAAGGCGACCACGGTGATGCGAAACGAATACGTCTTCTGTGGACAGATTAGCGAAACGCAGCGACCACCTCGATTTGATATAAGACTGTTCGCACTTCATTCGTTTCGTGTAAGTACTTCAAAGTAATATGAACGACATTTGTGCACACTGGACTCGTATGCAGCGATTTATTAATAATCCTTGCCACCAGCTATTTATTAAATGAAATAAAAAGCGCCTCATGACTTAAGAGTTCTCGAGAATACAAATGAGGCATCTGTTCCGTTTGACCTCGAACGTATTCATGCTCAGATAAATACGCAACTTGAACCTGACAAAAATGACTACTCCAGAAATAAGCAAGCGATTAAGTAAAAACATTAAACCTCGACCACTTCGATTTTTGTGATTCTCTACTTTGATGCTTTTCACTCATTGGTGGGCGTTGAGCTAAATACTTTAGCTGGTTCATTTTATTTACTTGTAGATGATTTTTAAATAGAGGGTTTTACACGATTCCTAAAAAATAGTGTTTTTTTAGAATAGTGTTTTGGTAAGTTTCTGTGGTTTTTTCAGTTTAATAAACACTAGTTTTAGAAATATTGATTTTTATTATAATTTGTTATGAGACTCTTTATTAATACAATAGAAAGCAAATATTTAAACGATAAACAAAGTGCAACGCTTTAAGTACATTGAATTAACTTTTAAAACTTACAAAATATGATCCAACATTAACTAGAATTAATCTACATTTTCATTTACTTTTAAATATTGCAAGAGAAAAATACTTTCATTTTAAGAAAAATGAACTGTTTTCCTTGATTTATTTCGTAAAAGATTAGAGCAGGTAAAAACTGTCACTATTGGTATTTTAATAATAAAAATACGTAGTGACGTCACAAACAATGAAATATTTTGATTTATATTGACTCATTCAACAAACGATAAACCGTCTGATGAAATGCGCAAACCCTATAAATAGTGACATCCAAAATTTGCTTAAAAGTACAAAAACAAAGTATGTAACAGTACAAAAGGTTATGAAAAGATCAGTCATAGAGTGGATATTAACGAATTAATAAAAAAATAGAGCATGCTCCAGCATGTAACACTAACATACAATTAATCACTTTTATACATCTTAAATCTTGGTGCAACTACAAAAATAAACACTAATCTCATCATTTTACTTACATTAAAATGTACCTATCGCAAGAATACGAATCCAGAACGGGAAAATACATTCAGGAAAAAAATTAACAGTTTAGTATTATAATATTGTAGCATAATTACCACTAGATTATATAAAGAATTTTTCACTGTACTAATGAAGTAATAATTATTTGATATCTTCACCATTTAAAATTAATTATACATTACTAAATTAAATTTAAAAAGAAAAGGAAACATCGATTTTTCAGAGACATTACTAATTTTAATTGTATTGAGTAAAATAAAGTTAATATGATGATAATGATAGATGATATATTCACACAACTGCTAATTTGTTTCACTAAAGTTACATGTCGAAACGTATTTTCAAACACTTCTGGTGTGGAAGAAGTAAAAATAGCCTTTATTTTCCACTATCACGAGCCAAGAGTACATACACAGACTTCTTATAAAAACGATAATCCTATTACTTGCAAAATGCAATAGAGAAGACAATAAATTAATCTAACTAACAATAAGACTTACTTTAAATTTAGTCTTTACATTAAATAAAAAGTTTCAGAGAGAAACATTTTGATTGCTTTTATTATTCAAAATGTTACCTGCATTAAATTGGAATTCTGATAGCGCATTTGCCTATTCCTATTTTTTTTTTATTTCAGAGTACAATCAAATGTTGTTCTGCAAGATGTGCCTCAAAGATCTGCGGTTGTTGAACAGCAAGGAATACCTTGGTGGAGAAGAAAAGATATTAAATAGTCGAAAATTTGTATATATCTATGTTAAAACAAAACTAGCCTTAAAGATTGTAATTATTAACGCAACGAGTTATTTTTCTTTTTATAATTTTGACATGCAAAGACTGATTTCATCGAATGAATTGCATGCTATTTTTTCTACCTCAAGAATAATTATGACGTTTTAAGCACTATGTCTAGTCTAACAATAAATATGTAACAAAGTAAGTGAACTTGTATGTATGTAACAAATTATGTAAATTTGTACATTAAAATTATTCTTGCAAATGAACTAACATGTATTAATTATTTCTAAGTCTGTATTAACTTTTAGTAAACGTCTACACCAAAAAAAAANACAAAAAAATTTTTGTAATGCTGAACATACTTTCATAAACATGGGAATTTTTTACACAAAATAAGTTTTTGACGAAATGAGAAAGGAAATTTTGTAACCTTTTTGTACACATAAATCGGTACCGGTATAGTGTGCTCTAGCTACTCGCTAACATTGTAGCGTGTGCTCTACTATTGAAAAGAAAAAAGGAATTTATAAATGGAATCCTAAAAAAGCAGTGCTATAAAGTTCTTATATACAGTGAGGACACGTGGGTTGAATACATTTAGTTAAACTCAGGGTTTGTTTTTAGGAAAAATGCTCGGACACGTCGATCATTATTTTTGGTTGCGGGTTTTTTCATGGTAAATTCATGTATAGAGGGCGGCTCAAAAATAAGCGAATACCACCGACTATTTTTTGAAATGAAAGCACCTCTTTTTTATTACACTTTTCAATTCTGCATATAGTTCCATATAGTCCAACAGGATGGAGTACCCCACACACAATTTGCGAATAGTACGAGATTACTTTAACAATATTTTCCCAAATAGTTGGATGGGAAGGAAAGGCTTTAATTATTGCTAATAAGATAATTAAATATAATTTGTACCCCGTAGAATATTTCCTACGGTAGAGCAGATATAATACTCTACATGTACTCCACAGAGCATTTCCAATGGTAGAGCACACACTGTACCCATAAATCATTCTTATGGAAAACACAATAAAGCCTAAAATAATCCATTCATAGCTCACAAAATGCGAAGGATGAGAAACTAAATAATGATTACCTTTCTTTTGTGGTTTGAGGCATAAGTTTACTTTGTTCAGATTCCTCATTTGGAGGCTGATATGCAACTTCAGGAACTGGAGCATATTGTGCTGCTACAAGCAAGTCTGTAGAAGGATTTACAGTCAAAGCTTGACCAGTAGCTGGATCCAACGGATCCTTTCCAATCCTACAGCAGTTTCTTTTAGATTGTCGAAGAAAGAGGCCTACAAACAAACTTTTAAGTAAACATAAGAAGTTTTCCAACATTTTAACTTCGTACCTAGGAAAACAATGCCAATTGTAAACAAAAGTGCTCCAGATATGGTTAATATTAAGTAAATATCCTCACCACCATAATTGATAGCTCCATTCAAAATGAGTACAATTCTGTAATTAATAAAGGATTACTATATTTTACGTTTGTTTTATTTTAATAAATGTCAAAGACTTACCCTACTGCTAGAAATACAGTACTCAGAATAAGAAATAATGTTGGTATAATATTTCTAATTGGAAAACAGGGCAATCTACATGGATGACCTGGAGTTCTGGAGAATGAACTTAGATAGCTAATGGGACGATTTGTCCAACCTCCTTGTGGTGAACTTGTACCCTCATATGTAACTGTAGTTGGTTGATAAACAGCCCCACTTTGAGACATTGTGACACTTAAAATTGAAACTCTTAAGTTATTATTGATGCAATTTTTCATTACTGATGTTTTAATTTTTCTTTAAAAAGAGCAAATAAATTGTTTTTGTAAGATGTAAGGTTAAGAATGGTATGCCTATACAATGATAGTAACAAGTATTTTCTTGTTTTTGTTTGGTTTCCATTATAAATACGAAAAAAACACTTTACATGAAACACAAAAGAGATAGATTACTTACGATTATTGATTTTGTTATTAATAGCGGTTAAAGCTCGTTAAAATTTAATCGTTCAAAACCATACTTGGCGTCACAAAACTACACCACCTTTCGTGGATACGGATACTATGCTCCTTTTTTGAATCTTTTTACGTTTATTGAACGACAGAACTTCGTTGAAAAACCTGTCCGTAGTTTAATATTCAAGGTTTAACTCTGACTTCGTCGATATATGTATGTACATATACAAAGCCTTCCTCAGATGGAAGTGCTTCCGCCGCAAGGTATATGTATACGTTGCAGCGGCGTATCAAGTACTTATAAATCTAATTGCCAAGAAAATAACAATGATTTTGTGGTCATTGATATCCGAAAGAAATCCACTAAACTATGATTTTCAAAGTAACTTAAAAATTTGTATTCCTACCTACACATACGTTGAGAGGTATTTAGTTTAATTTCATTATGATTTAAACTGTGCATTTAAAAGTAAACTTTAAAACATCATACCTTGTTAATATAAAAATTATTTAATCGAAATTTCAAAGGATGCATTTTTTCACAGTTATACTTTAGTGGCATTGCCTCTCCTTCACGACCACCACCACCACCATCACCACCACCCTTAATTACAAAGTTTTTTAAATTTTGTTGGATGTTGCACTCTAAGAAGTGCGAAAAACAATTTCTGTTAGATATAGGTAGCGTATTAGAAACAACAAGTAATAGGTAGGTATGTTGCGAAGCTAATTGGGAAAGAAAAGTCAAAACATTTTTTAAAGGCCTTTTGTGCTCTTACAAATAATCAATTGAGCTTAAAGAAAAGATGTTATTTCGATATTACAGATATGTACTTCTGTTCTGTTAAATGTAATATGAATTTTCGGCATTTTTTACCTTAACCCCTTTTTTGACAACTACTAAGAAAAAAATTGATTGATTTGATAACTACTAAGAAAAAAAATGAAAAAGATTTACTTTTTGGTTTTCAAATAGGTATATAATTTAGGCTTCTGTAACTTTCTTTTAAATAAGAATGTTCTTCATTTTACTTTAAAAATATCAGCTATTTGCTTTTACAGTCGTCTAATAACTTTTCTTGGTTTTCGATTCTGCAGTCATGATTATATCTAACTAGGGTTTTTATTGCAATTATTAAAGCTTACTTTTGCGTAGGTAATTGTTTTTTAAGCAAATAGGTAGGGGATAATAAACAAAATGAACTCCGAGACTAATTCTTTCGACTGTATTTTCAAGCTAATGTAGTACTTATGTAGGTATTAACATAATGAAAAAAATACAGTTATCGACGTTTAGTTTATTGTGTATTACCTAGGTACATTACATCATACTTCTTCACTGTTGCATGGAATTTAAGTAAAGGTAATTTTTTTATATCTAAAATATTGTGGAGGTATAAATTATAATTTATAGCCAGTCTAATGTAAAAATTACTTACAAAGTGTAGATAGAGTGTTTCCGGCCCATCTGGAAATAACTGTATTTGTACCTATGTTGACAAAAAAGAGAATAAATCGAATGAAAAACCGTGTTATAGTACATGCGAAATGAAAAAGACTATAAACCTATAAACTAGATATTTTATTGCACCTATTGATTCACGAGAAAATCAGAACTGAATATATTTGTAAAAGTTAATTGCATGTGGGTGGTGTTTATTTTTTTTTGTCTAATCTCACTTATTCTGTTACTGTTTTCGTAACTGATAATTCTGAATACAATTATTTATTTATTTGCCGTTAAACGTGCGTATCAAGTCATCAGAAAATGCATTAATAACTAAAAATACATTTATGTGTTTACATTTTAAACAGATCAAAGTTAAAAACAGGGGTCAATAAAATATTTATTGTCGAAATCTGAAGTGAATCTCTTTCGTTCTTATTTCAAAGTTTTGTCTGCATTGCGTTTGCAATTATTTTTTTATAGACATACCTAATTGATTAATCGTAAGTTGGAGTGGTAAGACTTGTGCAATTTGCTTGTTTTTATTCGTATAAGAGACGCCACTGTTTATGAATCATTCTACACCGGTACAAATAAACAAATGAAAGCAATGAACTATCAATAATAATACCCCGGTTAATTTCAGGTAACCAGACGCTAGGTTAGACCGCAAGAGCCAATTATTACATTTTCTGTGGTTATAAGAAGGAAGAAAAGCGTATGTTTGTATAAAAGAAGTTGATATAAATGTTAACTAAAATGGCGCTAAAGAGAAAGGAAACTCGTCAGACCACCTTATTATTAATAGACCAAATTTAGTTGCCCAACTTTATTTGAATAGAAATTTGTTCCCAAGTATCCGTATCTCAACCGTTTCAAATAGAAAAGTATGAATCATACTCAATCTTCGCAGCTGGTGATATTGTGCACAGGGCCGTCTTAGACCATGCCGGGGCCCTTGGGCACAGAGGAATTTGGGGCCCTTTTGGACAGTAAAGTGAATGATACAAACATTTGTTCGTTATGATGTTTTAATTAAATCAAATACACTTTGTAGATGTTCGCCGAATTAATTGCGAATATTTTAGGGGGTGATAGTACTCTCGATACGAACAACTTTACCATGGAACCAATACTGGAATCACGAAAAAGAAACAGTTGCTTCATACATTTATACTGAAATTAATGACCTAAAATTATTCGTATTGATAAGTGATATAATATCACCCCCTAAAATGTTCGCATTTGAATCGGTTGCACCTTACATAATATTATTATATTAATTAGATCATTTCAATTCAATCATTTCAATTCACATCTGCAGCATACTTATCATATATACGCTGTTGGTTTGAATTAGTTACGATTAAGATAATAATAAAAAAAATAAAAGTCAATTTTTTGAAGGATATCACTTTCTATGCACATTACTGACAAATTAGTTAGTCGTTCTTGTAGCATTGTTGTTCGCAATTCATTTTTTATTCTTTTTAGCTGTGAAAATGAACGCTCTCCACCGCAATTAAACAAAGGAATATTCTTGTAGCAACTTCAACATTTGGAAAAGTGGCTTCTAATTTATCAGATTTTATTAGGTTATGTAAGGTTGAGATACTTATATCCACTGATTCCTTTGCTGTGTTTTTCAAATACTCTCTTAAATGAAAACATTCTGTTTTGAGTTTATATGCATTGACGTCTTCGTGATAGAATTCGGCAAATTCTTTGCATTTTTTGGTCAACTCATCAGAATCGATTGTTGTTAACTGACAAAGAAAACTAAAACGATTATAAATTTCTTGGTATGCTGCCGAACGATTTTTTAAATGTGCATATAATGTGTCAATTATAGGAATAAACGTAACTACACGAAACTTTTCCTTGCCATTCAACTGTATAGTCTCTGATGATCCTTCAAAAAAAGTAATGGGTGTGCTGCGAATTCTTTTTCTCTCAGACTTATCTTTATAATCAGCGTTTGAATTTTTTTCTTTAGCGGCCGATTCGTACTTATCCAAATTATTACGTGCGTTATTAACATAATCAATCAGAGATGCGTAAAGTTTTGTCGCAACGTCCATGGTCATAGTGCCATTCTGTAAACNAATGCGTGTGCTGCCAATTCTTTTTCTCTCAGACTTATCTTTATAATCAGCATTTGAATTTTTTTCTTTAGCGGCCGATTCGTACTTATCCAAATTATTACGTGCGTTATTGACATAATCAATCAGAGATGCGTAAAGTTTTGTCGCAACGTCCATGGTCATAGTGCCATTCTGTAAACTTAAGCTTGTTTTATTCATAATTAGATAAATTTCATAATAATAAAGATCGTTCCATATCTCCGTTAGTAGAATAGTCTCAAATTTTTCTATTTTTTTGCTAGGCTTTGGTCAGTCCCATTAGTCCATTTGTCTGTTTCTTCAACCATAAAAAATGAAGTGAGCTTGGGAAGCTTTTCGGTTACTTCTTTTTGAGCTACAATTTTTTTTCTTTTTTGTGAACCACTTAAATATGTTCTTTTCGACATAATGAAATGATTTGTTAACGAAACGATCACTTTAAAATTATAACTTCTATTGTCTTACTTAATTTTTATTAAACAATACTAAATCACGCCACTTTGCACGACTTTCACACATAATTTGGGAATTCCCCAGCCGTAGACAATATCGACATCTGTTTTGATGAGTAAAAGTTATAGGTACAGGTAAGATCGACTTTGGAATCGAAGTGGTTTGTATAGGTGATCGCCAGATGGTGTTGTAGTGTAATTAATTAGGGTGCATTCTGCATTCGGAAAAAAGAGTAATGTAAGCGAGTAATATCGGTCTTCTGACAATATTCGTATTATCGGTTACTAACAGGTTAGCTTCTGAAGCCTGTTAAAATGACTCCTTTTCGATATACTCACCAGGTGTCACATGTGGCGCGTGACGTGACGTTACGCTTTTCGGTTTTATACTCTAGTAAATTTCCTTCCTACTGTCGATAGAGGTTTCACTTCAACAAGACAAGTACCTATAAAGCACAATGATGGGTCCCATTGATTTGATAGCATTTTGACCAAGCGTTGGTTGTCTGCGCCACATTTTAATCTTGATGTGATAGAAAGTAAAACACTTGGTAAGTTTGACAATGAGCAGATGAATGGTATGACATAATAGCCTACGCAGATAATGTTAGAGATCCTTGACAGATCTAAGACCTAACAATTTCTGTTTACGAAACTTCTGGTGTGGAAGAAGTAAAAATAGCCTGTTAATTGGCCTCTAGCAAAAGGGGGAGATGCCCCCTATATTTATCTCAGTTGGCTTTTTCAACTTGTGTTATTTATTAGGTAAAACTGTTTGAAAAACTCGAAGAGCATTTATGTATACGGGTTGTAATAAGATTGCTATAATAATAATAATAATATCGGTCCTTAGTTCGATGTTTACAGAACTCTCGCAAGTAGCAGATATTATCATTACAGTACTTATTATCAAGAAATTGAACTTCTGGTCAATATTTCGAGCCAAATACCCCATAATAAGTTGGTTACTAGAAGCATTTTATCGTATACACGGATACATCAATAACTGCTTAAGGGGATAATTCGAAAATCTCTTCTGGTACCATACCAAGATATTTAATATTACTGTGAAAATTCATTTTCAATTTTCAATCCCATTACAAACTACCTCAAGTTAATGAGGCACTGACCACTAAGCTATAGACTATTGTCACCTCTTGTAGCTTAGTTGCTTAGTGGTCAGCGCATTGGTGCGTAAAGCCAAAGGTCCCGAGTTCGATTCCCGACAAAGGTGTGACAGCAGCAACA